ATATGGACTATTCAGAGGGCTGAAAAAGTTATTTCTGACTGGTCCTCGCACTTTTGACCAGTCCTCGAACTTACGACTGTCCTCACATTTTACGTTTTTGCCCTATCTTGTCACCATGGTGAAGAGAAGCAGTTGTGAAATGAGTGACATGGTTGTTAAGAATGCTACAATGGGCATAAATGATGACCAGTCATAAGTGCGAAGACCGGTCAAAAGTGCGAGGACCTGTCAGAAATCACTTTTTTCAGCCCTCTGGGTAGTCCTTTTGTGCATATGGACTACTCAGAGGGCTGAAAAAGTTATTTTTGACTGGTCCTCGCACTTTTGACCAGTCCTCGAACTTACGACTGTCCTCACATTTTACGTTTTTGCCCTATCTTGTCACCATGGTGAAGAGAAGCAGTTGTGAAATGAGTGACATGGTTGTTAAGAAAGCTGCACGGGCATAAATGTGAGGATGGTCATAAGTGTGAGGACTGGTCAAAAGTGCTAAGCCCAGTCAGAAATGACTTTTTTCAGCCCTCTGAGTAGTCCCTATGTACATAGCCACGCCCACCTGGTCACATGACGAGCTACCCACGCATACACAGTCACGTGACCAGCTAGCCACGCCCACCCAGTCACATGATTGCCAAGCCACACCCCCAACTAAGCCACGCCCACAGAACATGTTGTTAAAAAAATTGAATCCCACCACTGGTGAAAGGGCCTCATAAGTGGAATAGCCTAGGGCCTCTTTTCATCTAAATCCGGCCCTGGGAATGAGGCATGATAAAATATAGCAAACATATCTAAAATGTATCTAAAACTGTTCTGAAATCCAAATGAATGAATTTAGTGATACTGTATTTTTTGACTGATTAAATGTTATAGAAACATAATGATGGAGTGAATAAAATCAATGCTGTTGTTAGTGTCTACTGTCACCCATTCAAGAAGATATGCAAAATACTGCTCAAAGAAATTGCAGAGCTGGAAAAAGGCATGGCTTGAAATTATTTTTCCAAACATTTGTTGGGAGACAAGCATGATCTTTCTAAGAAATTTATCATTGCTCCTTCAGGGGGCATAATAGATTTGATATTTGTAATAAAAAGTATCTTGATGATACTGGACTGTACACTGCAACAATAGGACTAAATGGAGATGTTATGAAAGTCCTACTGCAATATCTGGAAGCTCTGATGGTCTAAATGGATAGAAACAAATTCAGATGTAATCTGCCTTCCGAGTTTAAGAGAAAATGGCTAATTTCTCTAGTTCTACACATTATAAAAATTATCCACCCTTTTATAGCCACAACTAGGCAGCAGAGGGTGCACATGATGTGAGAGCTGTATCAAGCCTCAGGGGTGAGTATCAGATAAGGCATTCCCTGGTAGTGCTAAGCAGCTACTTCAAAGAAGGAGATGAGCCAATGCAAGGACCCAGCGATCTATTGGGAGAGGAAATATAGGACTACTAGCTTTCCATTCTATGGGCTCAGCTATTTGCTACTTAGCAGTAGAAATGGGATCAAGTAGACATTAGAGGACAGCCCAGAGTCATTTTTATTTTTCTCTTTCATTTTTAAAAAAAGGACATAGAAGCAGGTGTGCTTTACCTGAAGCAAGTAGATGGACATTTTCTTTCTTTTTTTTTAATAATAAAAATAGTTTTTTAAGTAGAGAAACACAAAAGTTATATAACACTAAACTTTGTTTCACCATCCCAATCTGAGGTGGAAATGCTATGGAATCTTGAGCTTCTATACCTGGAAGCTTAGAGAAACTGGTTGAGAACCTAGCAAGTTGGAGGTACTATTTATCTATAAACATCTAGACAACCCAGAAACATATGTTTGTATTTTACATAATTATTGTACATCACCTACAGAATATCTGTGACTTGGAGCTGTCCTGGATTTATAGCTTCAGCTGGAACAGCAGAAAGAAAATATGACCAGGAGAGTTTTTGTCTTCTTAAAGCCACTGCACCAATTATCGTCCTACCTGAACCAGGAAGCTTTGGTGACAGTAACACATGCTCTTATCACCACATATCTTGACTTCTTTACCCTGGTCTACATGAGGCTGTCTTTGAAGACAGTTTGGAACTGATGGAGAATGCAGTGAAATTTTTAGCCATGCACTGGTTGGCAGTAAATTTCAGGAGTCAATTTAAGAAGCTAGTGATCATCTTTAAAGCTCTATATGATGTAGATCTGTTTACATAGGGAGCCCAAGAGCCTGTCATTGAGAGGAACACTATCTGTTTCATGCACAAATATTCTTACTTGAAATCTATCATTCTTAGGCATTCCAACACTGACTGTAAATGAAAGAAAGTAAAAAAACTGCCAAATATCCATTTTTGAGTTAAAGGGAGAAAAAAACCTTGTTAACTTCTTGGATATATTGATGTAAATCCAGGAACTAATCTACAAAAATCAAATCATGATACATAGTTTAATCCAGAGAATATAGGTGAGATACTTTCATTGGACAAATAATAAATAACTCTGTGTGATCCTAGTAAGGCCAGGCCTATAAAACAACCAAATGTGAACTAATCCCATGAAAAATCTCAAAATGCTGATTAGAACAATCACGAAATAAGTGATATCCCCTTACCCACATCTAATGGCATTAATGAATAGCGTACTAGGTTTTAAATATGCCTGATAGATATCATGAACAGGATAAAGCATATCCTGCCAGTTGAGAAGAAGACAGTCAATTGTTTTATGCCTCATATCTTTTCTGGTTGAAATAGATAATGTGGGTGGTCTTTAGGTTACTTTGTGAACTTAACCCTGGCCTTGTACTTTTCCTAAATGCCAGATGTCCTGTTAGCTCTTTGAGGTAGAGCAGACCAAGAAATAGATTCCATGGAATGACTAGAACTATACTTTCTCCCATGGCCATGAAATGAATTGCTATGTGTTGGTTAACTTACCAACAAGCATTGGTTAACAGGCAAGAGGAAAAAGCATAAAGTTTAAACTTGGAACAGAGACCTATATGAATGTTTTGACTGCAGGTAGCATCTCATCTGTTTGATTATGGCTTCTTTCTTGTGTGCAGTAAAGAATCTAATGTAGGCAAGTGGGCCTTGAGAATCTTCTGCTAAAAGAAGCCCATTGTACAATTATACAAATTTTGCACATTAGTTAAATTTTATGACAAATTGGGACTGACAGAAAGTTACAATATTGTTGAACATGTGGTTGTGTTCAGAAGAAATAAAGAATTCTGCGCAATTGTATTATAGTAATTGTTCACACTTCTGTGCTGCCTCAACCTGCTTGCTGTTATTTGTTCCACCAGGATATCTATTATGATAATAAATATAGTTGCTATTCCACAATTATAAGAAGGTTTATATAACTTTCTCATCTTCAGCTTCTCAGCCAATAGATTTTCTATACTGGGTTGTCATTAAAAGTCATTTCATCCTGCCCCCATTTCAAATGTAAAAGATAGGTAGATGCTGAAGATGTGTAGATTCTAAAATAAGCATTGGTAGGGAAAATATTTAAAAAGTAACCAATCCATTGTGCGTGAGACAGAACAGAATACACCCTCCAAGGTCCTTTCCCATCCTATGACTCTATAATTTGATCTTTTTTATGAAAATTGGAAATATATTTATAAATAAAACAAACTGTATACACTACCATCTAGTGGTAGTTGGAAGTGATAATTTAACATTAACAAATACTAATTTTATAACAGGTGGAAAATGTGTTTTTCATATATCTGAATATCTGAATATACAAATATTGCTTGATAAATAAATGCAAATACACAAATGTTACTTTGTACTCAGAAAACAAACATGACCAGATTCATCCCTAAGAAAAGTTCTAAAGTTTGTTCGACAGCTTATTTCTAAAGACAAATAAAAATATCACAAAATAGCAAGCATGCATCTGAGTTCTCCAAAGGACTTCATGAAAGCTTTTTATTAAGTAAATTGATTTTAATTATATAAGAAAAGCAAGTTTTTTAAAAAAAAATTGTGGATGAGTACAATGGATATTGGAAGTAGTGATTTTTTTTCTTTAATTGTTGAATAGTCTCTTTTAGGAGGTAATGATTGTACTATTGTGGACATGACACATTCTAAAATTGGATTTAGCATTGCATGAGGCTTTGATGTGAAAAAAACAGTAATCAAACTAAAGTAGCAGAAAAAGTGACATCAATAAGAGAAAAAGAAGATTATCCTGAGCGTGTGGCAGTAGACTGTGTGTACCTACTAACTGATGGGATTTGGGAACTGAATGAATTTCTTAGCAGTGTTTGAGGAAAAAACTGAAATTATCAAGAATTTTGGGGTAATTTGTATAAACATTCAACAAAAATGAAATACACACTGCCATCAGAAATAATAGCATGTCTTAGGTTGATTACAACATCTCCAAAAACAGGTTTTGATAAATGCATTATTTTAAAGGACAATACTGCCATCTGTAAATTATTGTACAATCAATTTTAGATGACTAACCAAGATAAATTTCATGGGAATTAAAAACTTCCAAACTGACTCATCAAGTTTACATCCCAAGTCTTCTTTCCCATACTTTTTAAAGAATTTCAATACCCTATTGTATTTAAGAATTTTGTACCACAACAGAGGTTCTTTCAAGAGGTTCTTTGAATGTATGCATTATTCTTCAAATACTGCTTATGTTTGTAAGTAAAACACTACACACTTAAGAAGAAAAAAATGAACTTACAGTTTGAAAGTTGTAACCATCAAGATACATAGATCTCCTAGATTTTCCTTCAATAATCTAGTTCTTAATCATATTACGCTCTATCTTACAGAAAATATGAATTCTTTCCAATTAAATAAATGAATAGAAAAATCATAAATATTTTATAGGAGAAGGAAAGTAGAGCGAGCAGTCAAGAAAAAAAGCATCATTTTCATCTTTTCCAAACTTTTAAAATTTAAACATGGATCCATAGTAGTTATAATTATGTTAATACTATGTTATATTTGCTCTGCAGGTCTTGGACCCTTGGCTCCTGCTTGAGCAGCAGATAAAGGCTATGGCCAGGAGAGCCTTTGCTCAGCAGTGAATCTTAAGGGAATGGAAAGCTACTGCAAGAGGGACATATGCCCTATGCTTAAGACATTTCTGATATGCTTTACATGCCACTGCCCCCTCCCCCCAAAAGAAGCTCTGGCTGCTCCAAAATGTACTTGCTGACAGGTTTTTATATTAAGATTTTTCACCACTGCTGCAACTTTTAAAATGAGCAAGAGGCTCAGAATAGGGATTGGCAAATCTCAGTATAATTTTCTGCCGACTCAAGAATGAGTGGTCAGCACTTTAACTCAGCAAAGGAGAAAGACCCTAAGTTTTCCTACAGGTGGGTTTAAAGTGAAAAATAGCTGATCTTTTCATGCCTTCCTCCAACCTCTGAAGGATAAAGTTATCAGAAAAACCAATTCCATTTTGTAAGGTTGTCATCCAGCAGATGTTGGGTTAATTAAGTCTTCTCTGCAATCAAGTCTCTTTCACTGTTCTGCATATTGCTTTTTTAAAGGATCACTATCTCCTTCAATGTAGTAAAAAAGTACTGCTTTTGTTTCTTCCCTAACTTATTTTAATACAGATATCAAAAATATCACCAAATTTTGTTGGGTTACTAAGAAAGTGGGGGAAAGGTTTAACCCAAGCATAGGAATGCATAAATATACTGTTATAAGAATGGAATCTTCTGGGAAAATCCTAGAACACTATTTTGTTTTTTCTTCCAGATCACCCTGCTGCTGAAATAGCCATACTGGGATTGGTCAATCAGTTTTCCAGAAATAAATTTTCTGAAAGAATACCAAAAGTTCCTCCATTTCTTTATATTAGCATGTCTGTGGTGGACAACACTGTATACAGGCAAGATTTTACCTTCAGAGGCTTATTCGCTATGGAATGAACCTAAACTTCTGAATATGTCCATGAATGCAAACAACTTTTTTCTTTCTTGGTCAAAGAACTAGATTTCTAACTTATGCACTACCTTAAACAAGTTTGTAAAGTGCAAACAATTGAAGAAATTTTACACTAAAATGTTTACAGTCAAATGACATATTAATGTATTTTTAGATGAAAAGAACAGAAAATGTTTTTATTGGCTGGCTTGTGATATTTAAGATTTTTCAGGATAAATACAAAGGGAAACTTTGTAATCTTTAACAAGTGTATATAATACTGAAAAAAACCTATTTTTCTTTCCTCTTCTTTCAACTACAAAAACTAAATGAGTTTTCATTCAGCAAGAATAGATCTAGATTAATCCAACTATAGCAGACCATTGTAAACCTCTGAATGACCTCCGTAGTTTACTTGCAAAGCTGACTGACACAAATACTAAAGATTTTTTTAGAAACCAGGATCTCTGGCAAGAATATTTATTAAATTTCTGGGCCGGGCTCGCTAGCGAAATAATATATATAGGGTTCCTCCGTAATTCGGCTCCCTTGGGCTGATTCCGCTCCAAAGTAGCCTTTTAATTCTCTCCGCGGTGGTCAATCGGTGAGGGGTGGACGCCCGTCCGCTGGGAATTCTGCTGGGCAGCAACTAATGCAAATGAGGGGGATCCCTCCTTCCCAAAGCCCTCCCCTCTCGGTGAACTTGGCCGAGAAAACAAATCGCCCAGCCAGTTCAGCTCGGCGAGAGGCGCCGGCGTTTGCTACGACAAGGCCCTCAGCTTGGGGACCAGGGAAGCTCCCTTCCAATTCCTAGGGACTACGGCGTTTGCAAACAGATGGGCAGCCGAGTCTTCCGGGAGGGGCGTCCCCGGAATGCAGTTCGGCTCGCCGGTGTACTGTGCGTGTGTTTGGGTAAGGCGCGCGCGATCTGTCTTCTTTCCGCACCCTTGCCCACACTCGGCTGTCCCCCGGTGCAGGCCCGGCAGTCGAATTCTCGCGCTGTTCCTTCTTACGAATTGAATGGGACCCCCCGAGACTTGGAGCTCGCCCGCCTCGCCCACCTTACTGCAGCGCTTGCGGCTCGCGTCCTCCGTGAAGCAGGTGGCTGCCGCCTTCAGGCCGGCGAATCGAGGGTGTCCTCCACAGCATGGACTAGAGGTAGGTGAAACCGGGGCGGAATCGCACGGGAGACTCGCACCATCTTCGGCCGCGCCCTCTCCAGCAGGGAGGGAGGCACGCTCGGCGAGCTGAGATGCGCGCTGCTGGCGGCGGTGCTGCTAAAGGCAGGATGAGGGTCAGCTGCCGGTCTCCTTGACCTGATGCAGGAGGTAGGGCGCGGGGCGCGGATGAAGGAGCCTCCCGCCCTCCTCCTCCCCTGAGTGGGCCAGAGATAAGCCGCCCCCCTCCGGCCGCCCTTCTCTTAGGTGTTCGGAACCGGAGTCTTCCTCGGGAGGGAGGAGGGAAGGGTTCCGCAGCCCCTGCGTAGCTCCGCGGCTGGGCCCGAGCTTACGCCGCTTCCGGTTTTGCAGCTGGAGCCGCGTCGGCGTCCTGCAAATGGCCCGGCTGGATGCGGCAGGACTGGTGCTGCTGTTCAGTGCCGTTCCTGACGGAAGGCGAGGACCGGGAGGCTCGGTGCAGCAGCGGCGGGAGCAGAGACCACTAGAAGAGCTCCGCCGGCGGCGGCGGCAACAGCAGGAAGTGGAGGAGCGGGACAGCCGGCCTGCGGCATTCCCCATCCTGGGCCGGCGGCTTGGGCAGCACGAGGAGGACGAGGGCCAGGGGCGAGAGGCTCTTGGGCTGCGGCTGTCTCGGCATGAGGAGCGCTCTGGCGGCGCCCGGCTTTTCTCTGTTGCTGATTGGCGTGTCGCTCGCCTGTTACTCGCCTAGTCTGCGCTCGGTGCAGGACCAGGCGTACTCGGCGGCCGTGGTGCTGGAGGGCAAAGTGCAAGCGCTGCCAGCGGCAGCGGATTCTCCGACACCGGCAACGGGCAACTGGAGCAGGGACGAAACGCCGACGTCCGGCATTCTTGTGAAGGTCCTAGACTTGTGGCCCCTCAACAGCGGTGGGCTCCAGAGGGAGCAGCTCATCCGCGTGGGCTCCATGCCGGCGCCCTGCTTCAAAGTCAAGCGTAACCACCGCTACATCTTCTTCCTGGAGCCCACCGAGCAGCCGCTGGTCTTCAAGACTTCCTTCGCCCCGCTGGACACCAGCGGCAGGAACCTCAAGAAGGACGTGGGCCGGATCCTGTGCGTCGACTGCGGTGAGTAAGTTGCCTCGCCGGTGGGCTGCCAGCCTCGGTTAGCAAAGGCGCGCCATTTCCCCTCCCCGTCCCCCGGCCGCCTTGTGGTTCTAGGGCCGAGCCCCCTTGCGTCTTTAATGCCGCGAGGTCCGCTCGCGTTTCTCCGTACATATTGCTGCATTGTGAAAGGGAGCGATTCTCTGTGGCGCTCTTCATGCCGGTTCCTTTTCTTTTTGTCTTTGGGGTGAAAAGTATGGAAAGAAGTCATCGCCTCTTACGGGGAAATTTTCTATTGGAATTATGTCTCTCTGCCTACTGAACTCTGACAGCAGTGTCAGCTTTAAATTTATCTGCCTCACTTGTGTCTTTTCTGTCCCTAATAATTGCTGTTTGAGGGAAGTAATGGAGTAAGGTTCATGGCCAAGAGATTCACAATTGGAGACGGATGACATATTTTAAAAATATAATACCTATCATTAAACAAGATGCTGCTTGCTAACCTGTTCAAACATTCACCTGTTGTTCTGAAAGTTCTAGAAATCCTAGACTTCTGAATACCTTTTCTAGATTTCATTGACATTTACGTGATGGTGTTGTGACTGATGTTGGATCAGGCTATTAAACAGCAAGTTCCTAGTTCCAGGGCAGTGTGTCCTGAGTTTGCTGAACTAGTGCATGGGAAATAAAGGTATAAAGTTTCACTGTTGCTGCAGACCTATTAGTTTTCATGGAATTTGAAAAAGCAATGGAGTTAAGAGCCAAGACAAAAAAGTTACAATGCATCCAGACTCAGAAAACATAATGGCTTAGTGTGTCCAGACTTTCTAGATTTCACTGGAGCACCACCTAGGAATGGATTTTAATTGCTTTTTTGAATGTCTTTTGTTCAGTTGAATCACATGTATCGCATGCACCTATTTGTTCTGAAAAAGGTGGGAGGCACTGAGGGTAGCTTTTACTTGGATGACTGATTTCAATCTGGAAAATGGCATAATGGGAAAAGGTTGTTGCTTATCAGTGCCATTGCTTTGGTCACATTTGGAGACATAGCTGCTTTAGGACAGCAATAGAAACACTGAGAAATCTAATGCTTTATCATTTGTTCCCAGTTTACTTGTCCCAGTAAGATTGTAGAAGACATTTTAAAATTGGATTGTCTGGTTTTTTAGGTTTGTTTTGGATACCTAGTGTCATGTGCCAGTACTATATGTTGTATTTTTCACATACACGGCCTCTGGCATTTGATTATTTTCAAGCATATTCTCTTCCTGTTTTTTATTTTTTCTTCTTCCAGTTAAGATGATTAAAAGAGAGACCTTTTGGTGCCATAGACTTTCTAGACCTGCCTTTTTAGCTCATGAACTCTGTACTATGACTAACAGAAAGATATATTATAGAAGCAGAAAATCCATACATTGTGAGTGGCTTTTTGGAAAAAAAACATTCAAATGAATGATCTCTATACATTTCATAATCTCCTGTTTATCAATTAACTTGTCTTGATTTATTTTTCATGAATGTTGACTTCTCCTGTATTCAGGAAAAACAGTTCTAATGGTTTTTGTTTTAAAATGCAGATTATCTTTTATCTTCATTGAATGAATTCAGAAAACACAATGCTCTAGGATGGATAAACAGTCTCTCTATACTGCTTTATACTGTTTAAAACAAGATTTTCAAAGCAGGTGATACGGATGCTCATTAAAGTAAACGTATTTAGTTTCTCTGATATGTTCTCATTTGGCAGTAATGCTAAAGATTTCATAAACAATTTATGCACTTTAAGACTATAAAGTTAAGCATGTTTAGTTGGAAATAAGCTCTTGTTACTAATGTACGCTGCAGCCTACACATTGAACTCCTTGTTTGTTTGTACATTCCTTCTAATCTGAGGAAGCCATAGTGCTTTGTATATGAATTCTCTAAACTACCAGTAGAGAGAGAATGCAAAATGGTGCTTTCAACTAATTATTCTTCAATTTAGTTTTCACAAACATGTGCAAAGCAAACTTAGAAAAACTTTAGTGGTTTGATTGCCAATAGACCTTTGATGACTATGGCCAAAGGAATGTGGGGGGGGGGGGAAGAGGAGAAGAGCGGGGAAAGAAAACACTGCTGCCAGCCATATGATTCTGCAGGGTAAAGGAGAAAAGGAAGCAATTTTTCTGCTGTACCCCTGTACCTAATGCATCCCTTTCCACCTTTGACAAATCTATCCCTTTTATAACTCAGTTCTTTCTCTTATCAAGCCATCATTGTATTCTTTTCATCCCAAAGATCTGGGCATTTGTGCAATTTTATGAACAAGCCCTTCCTTTCTCATAACTGTGCCAAGAGGTCTTTCTTCAGAGACTCCTCACTGAAATGTCACCTGTCATAGAATGACTCTTTTTCACTGTTTGGAATTCTGACAGCTACTTATTTCACAGGACTTGCTATCCTTTGTTTCAAGTCATCTTATTAATTCCTGCATTTACCTTTGTAGTTGCCCCTGTTTGAACCAGCTCTCAGTTAACTGGTGAGGTAATCTTGGGATATTCAGCTCTTTAATTCACTCTTAACCCTTAAGTCTATTAAGAAACCCTTATGCATGCATGTTATTTAGGATATTACTTTCTTTTGATACAATTGCATCAAAACAGTACATCAATATTTGATGAATTTAACTCTCCCTTTAAGATCTGAAGTGTGTCCCAATCAGAGTTGATCGGGAGCTGCCCCAGTTTTGTGGGGTACTGCAGGGCTCAGTACTCTCTCTATTCTTCTTTAACATCTATATGAAGCCACTGGGTGAGATCATCTGTCACCATCGGATGTAATATCATCATTATGTGGATGATACCCAGTTGTACATCTCTATCCCAGGTGAATTAAGCAATGTAGTAGATATTCTTTTGCAGTGCTTGCAGGCTGTGGGGTTCTGGATGGGGAACAACAGGCTTCAACTAAACCCTAGTAACTCAGAATGGTGGCAGGTGGAGGTGGGGTCTTCTGTATCTTGGGTTCTTCCATCTTTGATCTTGGATGGGGTTGCACTGCCCCAGATAGACCCAGTATGAAATCTGGAGGTCCTCCTGAACTTGTGACTCCTATACAAGGAGCAGGTGGCAGTCATGGCTAAGAGGGCTCAATTCCATGTTGTGCACCAGTTGCCTCCTTTTCTGGATTAGGAAGACTTTTCAGTTACTCATGCCCAGGTCATCTGCCTTATGGTTTACTTCAATGTTCTTTACATGGGGCTACCCTTGAAAAGTATCTGGAAACTGATTCCTCCCCTAGATGGTTGCTAAAGAGTAAGAGACTTTCTTTCTCTGACTTACAATCTGCTGTGTTTGCTGCCAGAACTAGTACTTTGGCAGACTTGCCCTTTGGATTTGAATGTGGTACTTACGAATGACTCAGGATGACTTTTGGATGGCTGTGGACCCACCCAGGATGTGGGAATCTTGAAAATTGCAGCTCCTTGTGGGAGCAGCTGGAAAGTCAGTAATGTTTTTTACATCTCTTTCTACCAACATAATGTTTTCGTAAGTATGCCTGGGACTTTTAACTTCCCTTTTTGAACTTTTGCTTTTGTTCTTTATTTTTCATTGACTGGATGAATGCTGACTTATTTCAATCTGTTTTTTGTTTGTTTGTTTGCTTTCTTTCTTTCTTTGAGTTATTTGACTGATCTTGTCAACTTCTGCTTTTCTGTATGGAAACACGGCATGTGCCTCTGGATGGCAAAAGTGTTCATATTTGAACAACATATCATTAAATATTCACTGCATGAGATCTATTTTATTAACCTGCAAAAAGTTTTTGGATCAAAATAATCAGAAAATATCTTCTTTGGGGTTGTTGTTTTTTTACTTATTCCCTGCTTTACTGATCTACTGCATTGAGCAACAGCATATTGGAATACAGAGATGAGGAAGAGGCTGACATTTGGGAGTGGGGGGGGGGGACAGAGATTGTTTAGCAACATGCAATCTTTAGCTGAATTTTTTTCTAAAAGGTTTGATGAACTCACAAAGACCATGAAAAACACTCTGAAGAAACTTACCCTGAATACTTTAAACCCACAAAAAGAACTTGTTTTCAAAGCAGTAGACTCGTTGGAAAGAAATATAGACTCAGAAACAAAACAGACTGTGGAAAACATTAAGAAGGAATGTGTTGTCTCAGCAGTAAATTGGCCAGGAAGAAATATAGAATCAAAAATAACAGAGTTGACTTCATATACCTTCCTGAAGCTCAACCCTGTGCTTTTATATAATAGCAGAAAACTCTTCGGGTGAAGAAGTGGGAAATGTATCTTTTTTAAGGGGCTTGAAGGAGAGTGGGAAATTGACTTATATTTAATTGGGGAATGATCTTATCTCATTTTTGGGGGGAAGATAGATTGGCTTTGGACATTGGACTTATTGTATTCCATCAATCAATAGTTGATAAGCGATGGTATTAAGAAACAAATGTGGATATTTGATCTGGGACTAAATATTTGGGATGATTTGGGATTGAAGCTTTGGTAAATTTTCTACGAGTTGATTACAATAGCAGTTTGTTAACAGAGGGTTTTGGAATTTTAAACTTGCCTTTTATTACTGTTAATAATTCTTATTATTTTTATACTTTTATATAATATATATTGTTGTTGTTTTTCCTGTTAACTATTTTGTTATTAATATAGTATGTACATGACAGGCTAACAATTTGTAAACAGATTTAGTAGTGTAGCAGCTAAAGATTCTTTTGGTCTGTTTCATAAGGGGTGAGAAATTAACACTGTTGTATTAATTTAATCAGCTTTCAACTAGGAGGATATTATGTGTATATGGGTTAATCTTTTCCCCCCCTCTTTTTAAGACACTTTTTCTTTTTAAGAAAAAGTCTTTGTTGTTTTTCATTCTTTTGTCATTTAAAAAAATATTTTGGTGTTTTGTATTTTACTTTCTTTGAATTAAAAATTTCTCAGTAGAAAAGTATCTGGGAATTGCAGCTGGTGCAGAATGCAGTGGCCTGAAGTGTTTAGGGTT